TAAGCCAGGTTCCAGGGAGTGGGCAGTGAGGGCAAGTGAGATATACACTATACACATTTTGGGTCCTGTTCTGGTTTGTTCTCCCTTCTTTCTCTCTTCTTCCTGGTATCTGGCCAGTGAACTGGGAGCCATTTGTTGAAGGTGGTGAAATGTAAACCATCAAATGGGAGACTGAGTCCCTGGTGAGTATGAACCTGTGACAATGTCTCCAAACCACCACCCACCCACGTATATGTGAAATGAACCATTTGGTTAAGTCATGATCACTTTCTCTGGGTCACAGCTGCAGGAAGATACCCTATCAGATAAATGTGCTCTGCTTTTAATATGGGTGGAAAGGAGCACACATATGCTTGGGTGTGTGGCTTAGGCATGTCAATACCTTCTCTTTCACTTAGAAATAATAACACCAGAAAGTGCTGGCCCCATGACCTTTCTACAAGAGTACCCTATAATGTATGAAACCAGTGGATAGAAGGCCTAGGCAAGATGTGGGGTTTATAACCCTGAAAATACTTAAAAAGGAAAAATAATGTGCTTCCCTGTCCATCAGTATTCTGGGGCTGTGCGACCCTTACAGACTTCAGCTGTCATGTGTGACTCTAAGAAAGCCTGTCTTCCTTCAGTGCAGTGAGGTATTCTTCTCACATAATCTACTAGGTAGCCTTAAATTCTGCCCCAAAGTCTATCCTACTGCACTTCGTAAAGCCTCCCCATCAGCCTTCTAACTCCAAATCCTGTTACTGTAAACAAATTCAGTCTTCCAGGTTGAGCGTGTGGCAGAGGTCTCTGGTTTCCCATACAACCAGTAGCTGCTTCTTTAGTAACGGAGTGGTAACTGAGCAGTCACTTTCCAGACTCTCTTTAGGTGGGCGTATCTGTTGATTCAGTTCGGACCAGGAAGTTGTAATCAGATTCTGTCTAGATCTAGGCTTCCAAGAAAGGAGTGCTGGAAGACTGCTTCTGCCTCTTGCCCTTCTTTCCCCGTTTTCCTGCCTAAGATGTGAATGTGCAGCTGAAACTCCTTCAGCCAAGGAGTGACATGCAGGAATGAAGCCTTGTGTCAAGGAGGATGAGGCAGAAATGGAGGTGTCTGGGGCCCTGAGTTCATTGGGAACTCGTAAATTGGGGCTCCTGCTGAATCTGCTCCGACACACGTCTTCTCACCTTAGTAAGGACTGCCCAGGCCCCTTTCTTTCTGTCCTATTCCTGCACAACTCTGCTCCCTCCAGACACATGGGGAGAAGAGAGTGGGTTGAGATTAAAGGTAAACACCCAGGGGAAAGAAAGCAAGGAGACAGAATTCTCTAGGATTTGGGCTTTTGTTTTCATAAATAGCAATCTTCACAAACACCCCAAAGGGGCTGTTACTGTCCCTGCCTCACAGGAAGAGTCTCTAGAAAAACAAATGGTAGGTCCAGAATCAGACCCAGGCAGGAAAACCAAGTGTCAGATCCCACTCAGGTCACAAAATAAGATCTTAGGGACAAGGCCTGGTCTCTGCCCCTTAATGTGGTATCTGTCCCCTGACCAGTAAGGACTCTGATCTTTCCGCCAAGTACAAACTCCCTGTGACTCTCCCAGGTTATGCAAAGGGAGGTTAGGAAAACAGATGGCAGTTCAAGGGTCCTCCTGGAAGAAATCTACAGGACTGTTCGGAAGCCTGAAATCCCCCAAGTTTGTTAAATATATTTAACAAAGTGAGTAGGGCACTTTTTAAGAAAATGATGCTGAAAGCAAAGGAAACCCCTGTTCCTGCAAAAGCCCAAGTGACACCAAAGCTTGGAAGGCCAAGCAAGCCGTGCTGAAGGCAGCCACCTTCCATCCACCCAAGGTACTGTGGCTCCGAAGGCAACCCAAGTATCCTCGGAACAGTGCCCCCAGGAGAGACAAGTGTGAGCCCTCTGCCATTATCCAGTTCCCCCAGGCTCCCAAGTCAATTCCTGTTCATTGTGGATCTCAAGGTAACACTATATGGGACAGACTGTGAAGACACTCTATGACATTGATGGGGCCAAGGTCAACACCCAGACCAGACCTGATGGAGAGGAGACGCCTCACTACATGAGACTTGGATGTTGCCTGATAGGTGTCAACAGAGTTGAAGGTGAATGTGGCCGTGTACGTTTTTTATTATATTATCTACTTTTCTAGATTGAACATGTATTACTTTTGTACTATGAAGCCTTTAAAATGAAAGTGTTTCACGCTTTGTATCTAACACTCTGCATGCCCACCGCTCAGGGCCCTACCTCTTGCTGTGCCCAGCAGTTAGGGCAGGAGTTAAAGGGGTCAGTTGAAGACTGGGGGTGGGGTATGGGGGGAAGTAGTGGAGTGGCCACAGATGCCACCTAACACATTTGTTTACACTGAGGGGAGCTCACCCCACAAATAAGATCCTCACAAAATGACCAAATAAGGAAGAAGGGCAATGGCAAGAGGTCCATGGAGGAAAGACTAGAATGAAGGTGGAACTGAGGTTCATAGGTTCTCAGAAGCTAGGTGATGAGACTGGCAGGAAGTGGAGTAGGAAAGGCTGTGGGTCACGGGGAGAGGCAGACAGCACCAACGTTAAGGCTGAGGAGTGTTGGGCAGGCCCAAACCACTGTTAGGCACACTTGGCTCCTGCCAGGGGTGCTGTGGGCAGCTGGGACTGCAGATGCCAAGCACACAGACCCTCATCCGTAGGATTTTCAAACTGCAAGGTCACAGGCACTTCAACTGGGTAAACTCTTTGAGCTGGCATCAGCTGGGTAAACTCTTTGAAATTATCTTTCAGTCTCTGAACTCAAGCTTGGCAGAATGCTGTGGAGTGCAGTGACAAGGTGTTTTTCTATTTGGGATTTCTGTTGCTTTGTTATCCACAAGAGCATCATGGTTCCTAGGGAGCAGCAGCCACACCCATGCAAACCACACTGAGGATGTCTTGACTTGGAGAATGTGGCCTCTCTGTGGAGGCCACATCAAAAGGAAGAGTAACAGGACACCAAGAGTTTCCAGAGTGCTCCTCACCTCAGGAGACAACGGAGGAACCAGACTGCATCTTCTAGCGCAGCCTCTCTGTAACTGAAGCACTGCAGTGTGGGCTGCAGGGCAAGGCTGGCCTTTTTTTCCTGACTGCTCCGTAAGCAGCAGAACAGTTAGAAAAACATAGTGGGTTTTACTAGCCCTTGCCCAAAGATGCTGCTTATGTGAGCCCCTCCCACAGGTGTCAGCGAGGCTAAATGGTCCAGTTAGGAGGTATCAAGTAGGGCAGGGGACCCTACAAGAAAATAATAAGGCAGACCCAGGCCAGCTTGGAATCCCGCCAAGGTTCCCCACACACTGGGGAACCTGGACGCCGATTCCAATTCCTGCTACTCAGGACCTGGCCTTTGAAGAAGTAGAAGTAGGCTTTGGTAGCTGACCTCTGAAGGGAGAGAGGCTAGTTTTTACAGCAAGGAGGCTGAATTTGCTTCTGGTGTTGTCACCGCCATCTCCTGGAAAAGCACCGAAGACCCCGGGACCAGTGTCTCACCGAACTGAGTTTGGGTATAGGCCAGCGGCTCGCGAAGGGCTGTCTATTGGCTCATCCAGCATCACCCTCTGGTGCTCTTGCCTCTGTTGTTTAGTCCAGTGTCCATTCCTATTCATCCTGACCTTCAGACTGATGCTGCAAGCTGCTGCGGGGTTGTATCAGCAGCACTGCCTGTGAGCACCTCCAGCTGCCACGTGCCCCAGTCTTCATTGCAGGCTAGCACCATCTTGGAGGAACAGCATTTTGTTTGGGACTTCTGAACACTGTGGACACTAACTGGGGTGAGATAGCCACTTGTGGTTTAGTAACTGTTACCCTGTTTGTTAAATAAGCCTAAGGGTCTTGCAATTGTGCACACAGGTCAAGAACACACAGAACAAGTCTCTACTGGGCACTGACTGTCCTTGTCCATAGCACACATGTAGCCCCGCCTCAGCCCTGTGCAGTCTCTCTAGGAGGGCTGCCCATACCCAGTGCACACCTGCAGATCACCTGCTGTTTGGTCTGGCCGTCCAATTGCACCTACTACTCTAGGGCCTGAGGACAGATCAGTACAAGGGAGGCAGCCTGGAGGAAGCAGCCTAGAAGGGAAAATAGCTTGAGTTGCAATCAAAGCCCAGCTCTAACCCAACCAATGGGGCTGCCTTGCCTAGTGGGATCTGAGCAAGGGAACCTCAATGTGCCCATTTCCTCTGGGGTAGTAGGTAGAACAGTATCTACCACCCCACACTGCTCTGAGGAATAAGTGAGTTAATACGAATTGGGAAACATACAGAGCAGCGTACTTGGTAAGTGATTGTTAAAGTGAATGCTGTGCACATGGGAGTCTGGGAGGCGAGGTACAAGTATCAGGTGGGATTCTGCTGGGAATATCATGTATAAATACCACCTCTATACACCAAAACAGGGCTAAAATTATCTAATAGTGCATGCACAGAAAGGCCACTAGCTCAAAAAATGTCTGTCACTGACTTCCGTTAACACTGAGCACGGAGCCGGAAGGGAAGTAGGAGCTCCTCCCTCAGTGGCTGGGTGACTCCTCTTCTCCAAAAAGCTCACCCATCTGGTGTGAAACTTGAGAATGGTATCTGTGAACAAAATTACTTGAACTGAGCTTTTTTTTCACACTAACAGCATAAAAGGCAGTTAAAACTCTCAGAATGCATTGTACATGGTATAGTTGCAGGAAACATTTACCAGTTGTGTTTTGGGGTGGTGGTGTGAAAGTCACGGTCACTACCGGAGCTTTTCCTGATTTCAGCTCCACATCCTGGCAAGCAGAATAGGTCCAGGATGTCTAGCAAGTGCTGCCTGGGCCACCAGGGGGCGCTCAACACACGACGCCCACTTGTAGAGGGGCTCTTTCCTAAGAACTGACTGGTGGGCTTGCTCAGGGCCAGCAGTGTGAGCAGCCCAGGGTCCTCTCCACCACCAAGCCTGCCCTGTCACCTGCCCCTCCTCCGCTATCCCGTGCCTTCCCCGACCCAGCTCTCCTCCTTAGGTTATCTGCTCTTCTTCCCTTAGCTGATCCACTGCCTTTTGTCTGTCCTGCCCTTTCCTTTGGTCCCTGCTCTCTACTTTTCCTTTCTTCCGCGATCCTACACTTTCTTTTCCACATCTCCTTTTCCAGGACACACACAGACATACACACAATTTTCTCAGACAATTTAGCCTTCACTTTATTTTTGAAAATAATTCTATAGCTTCAACTTTCTTTCTTGAGCTGAGGTCAGGCAAGAAACAAAACACACACAATGATCTCCGCCCCACCATCTGCATCCCAGTGCGTGCAGATGGGACTGCCTGGAGGAGAGGGGCCGGGGGAGCCTGGGCAGCAGGCCTGACTGCTCTCTCTCTTGCCGAGGGAGCCCTGGGAGAGGCGCCCTGCACCTGCACCAGCCCCCAGGTGAAAGGGGACACAAGGAGCTAACTTCTCTTCCACCAAGTCAGCAAGGAACCCTCCGAGAGCAACAGGGGTGTATCCAGGAGAGTCTCTCTGAGGCAGGAGGAGGGAGGTGCGCCCCAGCACACCAAGGCTTTCCCCCTACCACCTTTCCCCCACCGCTGGGGATGAGCTGAGGAGAGATCTTGCTTTTCTCCTTCAACTTTTCATCTTAGAATCACGAATTGCTAGGCTGCAGGAAAAGAAGAGATGAAAGGAGGTCAGGGATAGGGAGAGAAGAGAAGAGAGACATGGGCAGGAAGCAGTAAATCCTGACACCAAGTACCTCCACCCCGCCCCTGATGACAAAATTCCTTTGATTAGTTTCATTTTGGCCACGAATATGACCCTATCTCATATAACTCAGCCCCTCTCCATTTGGAAGAAAGTGGGGAAGGGGCAGGTATAGGAGAAGCCTCATACCCCAGCTAGAAGAGCCAGAACAGGGAGAAAGGGCCTTGTCAGGTGAGCCACCCTCTTTGCAATGTCCCAGAGAAAACCTGAAATGCAGAAGGTGTGGCCTATCTATACAAGCCCAAGTGTTTCTCTACCACACAGTGATTTTCTGTTTAATCCCCAGAAAAATTCCCTTGAGACCAGAATAACCCTCACCTTAGCACATGTGCACTGGAATGCCACGCAAATAAAAAAGGAAATAAATGGACCCAAGGTAGAAACAGAGAGGACGATGCAGCCCAGGATCTGTGTTTCCTCAGCCCATGGTATAGCAATAAGGGATCTGGGAGAGAGGTGGGCGCCGCTAATTCCAGCTAGGGTCATAGCCCACCCAGGTCTGCGGGGGGGCCAAGTGGACCCGGCGTCCCCGAAACAGGAAGCTGACGATGCCCCGGTAGCCAGCTCTGGGGACCCCGGACTTGAGGTCATCCATGACTCCTAGTGCCTTGGCGAAGGCCTTGAAGCTGTCCCTGCCGGTGTACTGCACCCGCACCTCCCCCAGCTCCTGCCGCTCACTGGTCCTCACTTTCTCCACTTGCAGCAGGGGGGCGCCATAGACACGGGCCAGAAAATCGCGGTCATAGGCCTCTCGGCGCAGGTATGACAGGTCCAGCTGGGTGAAGGGTACGAAGTGCTGGTTCAGTTTGATGAACTTGAGGTGCTGGTCAAAGAACTGGCCATGGCTCACACCTCTGCGGCCAAAGGTCATTGTTCTAGAGATCTCAGGCCTCACACAGGCCCGGCCTTGCCGCTGCTCTGGCCTTCGCATCCAGTCATCCCAGAAGGCCTTAGGCCACTTGGGCTCTAGCTCTGCCCAGAGCTCTGCCAACAGCAGCCACCCCAGGCCTGGGAAGAAGTCCGTGCGGTAGAGCAGCTCAGGCTTGCTCGAGTCCACCATCTGCTCCTTGCCGTTATCATTCCAGGCAGACACGCACCACAGGGAGGGGTCGGCCTTCAGCAGCGGGTAGGTGGCCTGGAAGTACTCAAAGAAGTCTGGCGCCACCTCCAGGTCGTCCTCTACCACCACAGCTGCGGGGAATTTGAAGCTGTGGAAGACCTGGCCCAGCGCCCAGCGGTAATGCCTCGCGATCTTGTAGTAGCCCTGGAACTTGCGGTGGTCGGGTGGCACTGGGATGGTGCTCAGGTCTGGCTGCCGGATGTGTGTCACGGCGCTGCCATAGGAGGCTATGACCTGAGCAGTCTCCTCATGCCCACAGTCCTGGCTGACGATGATGGGGAAACGTTCCGCGGAGGGCCGGTAATGAAGCAGCTTGTCCAGGCAGCGCCGGACAGTGCTGCGGTCACAGGCGATGACGAGGATGGGGATCACAGCTGGTGGCGAGGTCACAGGGACAGGTGGAGCCACAGAGGGCATCCTCCACCGCTGGTTCCACCGCACATGGTGGTCCCTGATTTGCTGCAACAGCCCCCGCTGCCGCTCCAATTCCACCTCCGCGTCCTGGGCCAGGCGGATCACCTCCCGGGTAAGGCCGGCTGGGTCGTCATCCAGAGCGCTGTCGGGGGGCAGCCTGCTTGGTGCCGGGCGCGTCCAGAAGAAGAGGAGCAGCAGTGCGTTCCAGGCCACAAAGAGGATGGCGCCCCACAGAACAAGCCCTGCAGACTGCTTCTTCAGCATCCTGGCCCCCGCAGGGGAGGCAGCAAGGGTGGGACTGAGGCTGTCCCACAGTTCTCAGGAAGTTTCCTCTAGACTGTGGGATTAGAAAGCAGCCATGTACCTAGAGAGAGAAGACAGAAAACCAATCATCATCACATAGGCATGTGCTGCCTGGCAGTGGAGGAGTGGACGGACAGGAGGGACCAGTAGGAACAGGTTTTGAAAATGTGCCAGAGAGGGGAGGTCAGGAGGTTGACTCCAGCACTCTCTTAGAAAAGAACTGAAGTCCCCTGATTCAGGGCCAATCTGCATAGGAGAATAAGATGAGCACAACCTGCTCTTCCTCCCAAATGAGTTCACAAGCCTACAAAAAGCAATGTATGCTTGAGGAAGAGGAGAGTGATGCTGCTGCAAGAAAAAAGCAAAGAATTGCAATTCCCCTTCCCTGATGGGTTTCATTTCCTATGTTCTACTCAGGGTGCAGGATGTATGGGGCCGAAGCATTTGCCTTCCATTTCTGAAATCCAGCTGCCCAACAATTACTGACTGAAAGACTCTGATATCACACCTGGAGGCTAGAGCTAGCACCAGAGGCATTACTGAGATCAGAAGCAATGACAAGCCACCCATGATCTTTGCTGGAGAGATCAGTCAATGCAACTAAACCACAGAAAATTAGGTGCAAAGAAAAGCAAAACTATCTCTATATGGTGATGCTGTGAGAAGTGAATCAATGATAAAGACAACCCAAAAAGAACTGTGCAAGGTAGCTGAATATAAAAATTAGCATGAAAAACTGATAGTCCTCATGTCCATGAAGTAATTCATTAGCAGAAATAACGAATGAGAAATCCCTATTTCTAACAGCAATGAAAATAATAAGTTATTAAGGAGTTTGAATACTTATAATAAGTTTGAATACTTATCAATAAGTATTCAAAACCTACTTCAACAAAACTCTGATTCTTGAAAGACAAAAGGATTTTAGTTTTTGGTCAGGACTTCTCAGTATGATCCAAAATTTCAATAAAAAGTTCTTCATGCAGGCCCTCCCTGGTGGCGCAGCAGGTTAAAGCACAGCACTGAGAAGCTAAAGGCACTTCTGCATGAGTTCGATTCCCGCCTGCCCTGGAGGTGACCACATGGCTGGGCAGACCTCTCCTGACCCGCCCACTGCTCCCCTCAGCACTGTACTTCATAGATCTGCCTGTTCTACTCCCCACTCTGTCTCTGGTGAAGTCTCTCGCCACCCCTGAGCCTCTGGCCTGTACCCCAGTTCTGTATGAACAAATAAATAAATATTTAAAAAAAAAAAAAGTTCTTCATGCAGCTAGAAAAACTGCCACTAAAGTTCACATGAAAAAATAAAGATATAATATCATCTAAGAAAATAATGAAAATAAGTTATTCAAAGGGACTTTCCCTACCAGATATTAAAACACTAAAAATGCAAATAGTAAATGCATAATTAAAATTCTGTGGTGCTGGAATGTATATAACAGACCATCCCGTAGAAGAAAATACTGCAGAAACAGACCCAACTACACATAAACACATACTAAAAGTGGTATTTTTACTGGGGCAAAAAACAAACAAACCCAAAAAACGGTCTTATTAATAGTATTCTTAACACCTATTCTGCTCTTTGGAAAAGCAAAATTAGAACTGTTACATAAACTATCAGGGATGTAAGCACAAAACAATAAAGCTATGTAAGTGATAGGAGAAAATATGGATGAATCTCAAATAGGCAAAATGTGAAAGATCAAAAAAAGAGCACATACACTATGATTTCACTATACAAATCTCCAGAAAATAGGTGATCTATAGTGGCAGAAGGCAGACCAGTCGTTGCTGGAGTCTAGGGGTGGGGGCCTGAGGGCAAGGGAGCAGCTACTACAAAGAGGCACTAGGGGGCCCTCCCTGGTGGCGCAGCGGGTCATAGCAGAGCACAAGAAGCTAAAGCCACTTCAGCATGAGTTCGATCCCCGCCTGCCCGGGAGGTGACCACATGGCGCGGCAGACCTCTCCTGGCCGGCCTGCTGCTCCCCTCGGCAGCGAACTTTGTCAGTTGGCCTGTTCTGCTCCCCAATCTGTCTCTGGTGAATCCTCTCACCGCTCCTGCACCTCTGGCCTGTACCCCAGTTCTGTGTGCAGAAATATATAAATTTAAAAAAAGGGGGGGCATTAGGGAACTTGGGGCAAAGGGGATATGTTCATTATCCTGAGAATGGTGATAAGTTTCACAGGTGCATACATATGTTCAACTTTATCAAACAATATATTTTAAGTGTTATATAGGTTATTTCTCAATAAAACTTTGTTTTTAAAATGACATCGAGTCAAATGACAAAATTGGAAGGTGGACAGTATATTAGATATCATGTTGACTGGCTAATGGCCATAGTGTAGCTATGTAACAGGAGATTCAAATTCTTAGGTAATACACACTAAAGGTAGAGGGATGGCCAAGTTACAACTTCTCAGATGGTTCAGAATGAAAGATCATGTATATATGGAGAGAGCACACACAAATGGAGCAAAATGTTAATTTCACAACAGGCAAATCTGAGTAGGAGGATTTGAGGATTTTTTTCTTTATTCTTTTGTTTATTTCCCAGAGCATTTTTATAAAACTGAAATTATTTTCGATAAAAGCTTCTTTAAAATTCAAATATGGCAAATGGCCCACAGCTCTGACTAGTATCATCCATCAGTTGGGCACACAGTAAGGGCAAATGGATTGTCCTGAGCTCAAACCCCTCATCCTGTGGACTATTCTTGCTTGAAAGAAAACCTATCACACCCTCTAATTCTTTGGCAGCTGCTATCCAAACCATGCCACTGGTCTCCTTTACCCCCAAAGCATCATAGACAAAGCCTCTTGTGCCAGTAGCTCCTTTTGTTCCCTCCGCCTACAGCTTGATCCTAACTAAGACCTTGAGTCCCAGATGTCTTCTGTGTGCTCCTGGGCACACCCGGTGTCAGGGTTGATCCTGAGGGCTGCTGCAGAGCCCAGCAGCCTGTTTCCTCCTGGGGAGATGACCCCAGGCTGTAAGCACCACCAGCTGTCTTCCAGAAACCATGCACTCCCACAACTCTATAGCAGCTCACTTCTCAGAAACTAAGTCTATTTCTGTTTTAATGTGTCATTAAATTCCCATTTTACCAGAACTCACACATATACCAATCAGGTTTCTTAGATGTGAGCAGAAAATACAGATTCCAGTTTCTTCCCCCTCTCCCTCAGACTGTAGTTAATGTTGGAAACTTTTCCTCCAGTCTTCTGGTCAGGAATTCCTACTCCTCAACTGCTTGTCTCCTGACTGTCAGGGAAAAGGCTTTAGGTAGGGAAAATGGGAAGGAGAAGAGACTGTGCTCCCACAGAACTGACCTGAAGGCTGTCTCTAACTCACCAGCGTCACTGGTGGCAAAATCACAAGGCAACACATCATCTACCCTTAGATGACTTGTGAAAGTGGTCACTCCTCTCCAGACATGAGTTAGGTGGCCCATACCCTTTCCTAAAATCCTAGAACACCTTACCCCCCAAGTCAGGTAGGGTTAACAGGAAAGTGGCAGGCTGGCCCACAGGAAAACAGTTGCTCTAGTCCAGTCAGGCCTCCACCTTAGCCCTTTGTTTTCTTGCCCAGAACTGTCAGAGTTCAGAGTGTGTGCCTTTTACCACGAAAGAACACAACACCCCTGTTCCCAGGTTCCACCACTTCTCCACACAGACTAATCCAGAGGCCCAGTACTGTGTCCTACTGCTTCTCCACATTCTCCAAGGTGGGAAACTCTACTCAGCTTCCAAGTTAGTGGTGTGTACACACACACAAGCAGACACACTAGCTGCTGGCTGTGTCCACGGGGGAAGCAGCACAGGCCAGCTTCTAGCAGAGCTCAAGCAATCCTCCCAGAGGTGCTTCTCAGATCCTACCACCAGGAGGGTTTGCTAGGCAGCCCCTGGCAGTGCTTGCCTGTACCCTACATGTTTTCCCTTCTCTGATATGCAAATTTCTCACCTCTAAGATGGAAACCATAGCAGAATACATCACTAGACTGTTGTGAGAACTGGATGAGATAATGCATGTCAGGTTTAGAACAGTACCTAGCACGCAGCAACAACATAAACGCTAGTCAGGTATTTTTTCCCCGTCCCCTGGTTCTCTTTGCTTTACCCTTCAAGCTTCCTTCAGGGGCCCAAACACCCAAGCTGCCTCAGGGTAGATGAATGGACATGTCTGCCTCGTCTGTTTCTTCCTGTCTTTACCTGGTGAACTCTGATTCATATCTCTTGTCAGAACACCTTTCCTGATGCCTATGGACCACATGAAGTCTATGACCCCTTCAAAACTAATGGCACAGCACAACCTCCTGAGCAATACCTGTAGAATCCAGCTGAATATAGGAACCAGTGCTGCTAGTTGCTATGCTAGGTAGAGCCATGCCTGTGATGAAAAACTGGCACCTGTGTGGATGTCACATACTCACAACCCCTTAACTGTGAGTCCTAAATCTTAAAAGCACAGAAAACAACAAAGAGAAATTTCGACACTTATCTGGCAGTAAAACCCGATCTAATCTCATTTGAAGAACCCTGTTCTGATCTAATGTGAAGCTACTATAGTCTTTATTTATCTCACTTAGTGTGACTTACTCATATATTTTGCTACATGTTGGGTTGCAGCATCACTGCAGACTTTGCAGCGTTGCTACAGTGCTACAGACTTTGTACTACATTGTAAGTGCAGCAGACCATTTTTTTTAAATTCCCCAAATTCTTTTTAAAATTCCCCAAATCCTGAAGTATATCCAGCTCCAAAAATTTCGGTATTATGAAAATGGAATAGTCACTTATTCACTGCCACATCCTCAACCCTTTAAGCTGACCACTTTCCTTACTAAGGAATACTGTTTTACACCTGAACACTTGATGCAGCTGCTCAGCTGGTCTACATATCACTAATCTTGCTTTCCCCTAAACAACCTTCTTATCCTTCCTAAAGTACACACCTGGTCACAGGCTTAAGCTGTCCAAAACACCAGAGGTTGCCACAGAATCAAACTGAAACTTGTCATTATGACACACAGTGCATTCTCAACACACTAACTCAAACA